GGAAAGAGAAGAAAAAAGACAAGAAAAAGAAAACCCACAGTGATTGAAGTTCATGCAGAAGCAACTACTGAAGTGAGAGCTCCCTGTCCCAACCCATGGGTGGAGGAAGTGGCCTCACCCCTGTAGGGGACAGGCTCTTGGAGAGCTGCTTGTAGGAGCTATTGACCTCCTGGGGAGCAGTGGTGTGAAACTGAGGGAGATGGGAATGGAAAGTGAGGAGTTACCTGGAAAAAAGGTGCCCAACTGATCTGCATTTCAACCCACCTTCTCTTTCACAGACCCACAGCTTCACCCTGGAAATACCTAGTGCACAATGTTGTTCACCTGACTGAGCAGTGCAAACAGAAAGGGAGCATTTCCTTGAATGAATCAGTTCCTTGGAGTTGTCCATTTTATTTTTCTTGCCAAGTTTCCTGGAGAAGAAAAAAAACAACACAAAACAACCCAAACTTTCAACTCCAAGTCTGTCATAAAACCACTTTTCCTCGTGTTCTGCTGCTGGGAACGTGGGCGGCTTCGCTGGGACCCTGGAGGCACCATCTGGGATGTTCCTCAGGGAGAAGCCTCAGTCTTTACCCAGGGGCTCTTTGGGGAAGGTTCACTCTGTTTCCAGGGGCCCAGAGCCCGTTGGATAATTTGCCCTGTGGGAATGGGGCAACACTTAAACCTTCTGGCCACGTTGGATCCTGCCTGGTTTGGGAAAGATGAATCAGAAGGACCAACAGAGCTCGTGTTTCACCTCCAGCTCCAGGACCAGTGAGTTTCTTTCTTGAGATGCCATTAACCACAGGGAAGGGGACATTTTTGAGAGGGTTATTTTTTTTTCTGGATAATTTTTTTTTTTGAGGGGGGGGGGGGGAAAATTTTGTCCACCCCTCTGCAGAAGCAGGAACCCTGCCATGAAGTGGCATCAATGTGACTAAGGTCCCTCCTGAAGGGAAAATACACTCCTAATTCCTAACAATTTCTGGAAAAATAGCAGGCTCAAGGAAGAGGGTGGACAAGCACCACTCTGATTAGATGTTTTTCTTTTGAAGCTTCATGGTCAAGAAACCACTACCAGGTACTTTGGTGTCTTCTTCTTTGACCCAAACATCTCACTACAGAGCCCCAGAATCGCTCCGATATAGTGTGTTATCCTTTTAGTGCAGCACTAATTAACGTGGCCAATTAAGACATGAGATGATTGTATTCCCTTGTCCCTAAGTCAGAACAATCCCCCCCCCCCAAGCAAAATAAATCCTCCCAAAGGTGCCCACATATTGGACAGGAATTGGAGGTTCCTTTGTGAGACCTTCTAGCAAGACCATTAAAAAAACCCCTTCCAAAGGGGTGTTCAGATTTAAGCTTTCAGATTTCCCCTCCTCTCCATGTTATGATCCATTTCCTCTGATTTTGTTAATATCTTACATTTCAATATCTTATTTCTGTCTTCAACCTGCATTGTGGTTTTTTTTTTTCTCCACCTGAGTGGGCGGATCCATCCAGGAAACACCAAAACCTCAGACCTGTGAGCTGGGAAAAAAAACCCAACCCAACCACTGAACTTCTTCCCTGTGTTTCTGTGTCTCCTCTTTGCTGGCTCCAGGAGAATGGCCGGGAGAAACCACTCCAGAGTGACCGAGTTTGTCCTCTTGGGCTTCCCAGACAAGCAGGAGCTTCTCTTTGTGCTTTTTTCCCTCATCTACCTCACCACACTGGTGGGGAACCTGGGGATGATCGTCCTCATCAAGACCAACCCTCAGTTTCACGTGCCCATGTACTTCTTCCTCAGCCACCTCTCCTTCCTGGACATCTGCTGCTCCTCCTCCGTGGCGCCCACGCTCCTGCGGGGTCTCCTGGTGGAGAGAAACCTCATTTCTTTCGACAGCTGCATGGTGCAGTTCTTCTTCTACGCCCTGCTGGGCACCACGGAAGCCCTCCTGCTGGCTGTCATGGCCTACGACCGCTACGTGGCCATCCGAGCCCCCCTGCACTACCTGTTTGCCATGTCCCGGGGGGTCTGCGTGCGGCTGGTGGCGGGTTCCTACGCGGCGGGGAGCCTCAACGCCGCCGTGCACACCACCTCCCTCCTCCTCCTCTCCTTCTGCGGCCCCAACCTGGTCGACCACTTCTCCTGTGAGATCCCAGCCCTCCTGCTGCTCTCCTGCTCCGATACCCGGCCCGTCAAGGTGCTGCTGGCCGTGTGTGTTGGTTGCATCACAGCAGCCTCCGTCTCGGCCGTTGTGGCCTCCTACACCTGCATCCTGAAGACCACCTGGCGCATCCCCTCGGGCAGGTACAAAGCCTTCTCCACCTGCTCCTCCCACCTCACGGCTGTTGCCCTCTTCTACGGCTCTGCAGCTTTCTTGTACTTCCTCCCTGTTTCTGGGCAGGCAGCGGATCGAGGGAAAATAGCCTCTGTCTTCTACACCATGGTGACCCCCATGCTCAACCCTGTCATCTACAGCTTGAGGAACAAGGAGGTGAGGATCAGCCTCAGAAGAGGGACCAACAAGCTGCTCTCCTGCCTGTTCTCCCACAGGTTCTTCTCCATCCAAACCGAAGCAGATCTCGCTGGCCGTGATGGAGTGGGCAGAGGAAGTAAGGCCAACACCTGACAGGAGAGGAGCACAACAGCTCTGGTGGGATGTGGAGGCTCCAGCGACTGCTGAACGCTGTGGACTTTGAATTACAAGTGAAATCCAGGTGGGGGTGCCTTGAAGAGGAAATGACTGTTGTCACAACGTCTGAAAGAGGGAAAGAAGGCAGGAAAGGGAGAACCTCAACACACCTGCATGGGCAGCAGAACGTTGGGAGTAAAGGAACTTGCAAGCAGGTCTAGAACTTGTACAGTTGGTTCCATTCACCAGAGAGAATTTACTTGTTGTTACAGCAATGTCAGATTCTGTGGCCTGAAAGAGATGGCTGAGGGTACAACTGGATGAGCTCAATGGAGACCCCATGTTGGGGAGGGACAGTGTCTTTCATAGCTTTGTTCTCAAATATTCTAAGCAGCTGCTCAGTGTCCCGCCTTAGAATAAACCCCATTTACTATTTCCTCTGCTTTGTTCAATCATAGAACCATGGGATGGTTTGGGTAGGAAGGGACCTTAGAGATCATCTAGTTCCAACTCCATTGCATGGGCAGATCTTTACGGGGAGCAGCACATTCCCCACACTCCATATACACAGATCACTCCTGGCTGGACACTGACCAGCCTGGAGCCACCATGACCTGCTCCTTGCTTAGCAGCAGAGTGGAATTTTGCCCCCCATGACAAGCAGACACTCAGCTTGGAAGAGTCTCTCCAGACATGGTCTGAGCACTCCTGGCTTTTCCCAGGATGTCACCTGGTGTTGACAACACAAAGCCTGGTGTGTCCAGACATGCCCAACTCATTTGATGGCCCCAAGACTCTTGATGTTTACCAAAACTCCCCCACCATCTCCTCTCCTACTTGTGTGTCTCCATCCCATGTTCCATCCCAGGAAATATGGATTTAATTTAATTTCTTACTAACAATTTCTGCTTCCAGGCTTTGGGGGTTGAGTCATCTGGGGCCAGGAGTCATCCAGCTCCTTGTAGCTTTTCACATCTGACTTAGTCACCACTGGTTCCCCTTCTGGAGCCTTTGGGAGCTTTGATTCATCCAAACTATTTTCAACACCCATGTGAGGGTGAGATTAACTTGTCTGGAAAAAATGGCCTGGTTTTCTCCACTCGGAGGGGTGACAGGGCTGACCTGGCTCCACAGCAAATCCCACCCAGGGCACATGCTGAAGAGTAAATTTCAGCATAAATTGACTAAATTTGCATAAATTAATGCCTGCATCCAACCCTTTAGGTTTTTAAACAACAGGATATCCCAGATAATGTTGAAACAAGAGTTCCTGGACAGTTTGCCTTCTCTTTCTCTCCCTCCCCAACAGCATCTGGGACACTTCTCCAAACCCTGAGCTACTTCCTAATCCTGGAATCTCTGTTTTTTGCACCAATTCTTTCTCATTGTCTGAGATCCCAAGAGATAAATTATATATTCCAAGAGATAGATGTGTATCTTTGTATCTTTAGAGATATAAAAATGTATATAATTATATCTTTATATATCTATCTTTCTGTCTCTATATCTTTCTGTCTGGATGTGTTTTATGTATATTTTTCTCCACACACACACAATTCTCAACATATCCATAGAGCAGTGGGGAAAACACTCAAGCTCACGTTCAGCTGCCACTGATTGTGTTTGTTTACCCATCTCCATCTCCTCCTTAAGGACCTGTTTCCAAAGTCAGCAATTCCCAAGAGGAATTGTTATCCCAAGAGGGGGCTGGGGGGGCAGCAGCCAATTCCTCTCTCTTTCCATGGCAGAACCTATAAATGGTGGCTTTTTTGGGGGGTCAAGCCTTGATGTCCTTCACGACTGGTAAATTGCTCTTGTTTTTAACACCAACACTGGGGGAAATTGGGGTTTGTTTTGCAGCTAAAACTTGGGTCTGGGAGATAATGAGTCTCTGATAAACCAAGAACTGATAACAGGTAAAAAAAAAGGTGAGTTTTAGCCTAAATGATGCTACGTTCTGGTCGTGTTATCCCGTTGGCACCCAGATCTTCTGGTCCTCAAGTTCTGGTTTATCTCAGACCTTTTGCACGGAGCAGATCAGAGGACTTGATGGGGCTTGGTTTACTGCACCATGGAGGTCGTGGCGTGGAAACAAGACCTGGGTTAGTTGCCTGACCTGGTGTTGGTTTAGGGGGGGGTGTGAAAGTCTCCACTTGATGCTGGACCAAAAGAGAAAGAGGTAACTAAGCTGAGATTGACAGGAGGTTCACGTCTAAGCCAAGCGAGGGGCTCATGTATTGAACCTCCTCCTAAAAAAGGTTCTTCTCCAATGGGAGAATTTAACAGTTATGAAAACCTCAGGGAGCATTTTTCTGCAGCTGTTCCTAACTCTTGTTTCAGGAAGCCAGGAGCTTCATTGGTCTGAATGTCATGGTTTTAAAACCTGCACTGCCAGCATCTCACTGCCCCTGGAGCACCAGCTCTGCAGCTTGGCTGGGCTCCCACCAGCTTTCCATGGCAGAACCTATAAATGGTGGCTTTTTTGGGGGGTCAAGCCTTGATGTCCTTCACGACTGGTAAATTGCTCTTGTTTTTAACACCAACACTGGGGGAAATTGGGGTTTGTTTTGCAGCTAAAACTTGGGTCTGGGAGATAATGAGTCTCTGATAAACCAAGAACTGATAACAGGTAAAAAAAAAGGTGAGTTTTAGCCTAAATGATGCTACGTTCTGGTCGTGTTATCCCGTTGGCACCCAGATCTTCTGGTCCTCAAGTTCTGGTTTATCTCAGACCTTTTGCACGGAGCAGATCAGAGGACTTGATGGGGCTTGGTTTACTGCACCATGGAGGTCGTGGCGTGGAAACAAGACCTGGGTTAGTTGCCTGACCTGGTGTTGGTTTAGGGGGGGGTGTGAAAGTCTCCACTTGATGCTGGACCAAAAGAGAAAGAGGTAACTAAGCTGAGATTGACAGGAGGTTCACGTCTAAGCCGAGCGAGGGGCTCCTCCTAAAAAAGGTTCTTCTCCAATGGCAGAATTTAACAGTTATGAAAACCTCAGGGAGCATTTTTCTGCAGCTGTTCCTAACTCTTGTTTCAGGAAGCCAGGAGCTTCATTGGTCTGAATGTCATGGTTTTAAAACCTGCACTGCCAGCATCTCACTGCCCCTGGAGCACCAGCTCTGCAGCTTGGCTGGGCTCCCACCAGCCTCAACCTCCTGCACTCCTGCCCATCACCACCAGATTGAAAGGAGGGGGGTTAATACTTACACCAAATCTCCTGTTTCAGACTTTGTTTGGGAGTTTCACAGGAAGGAATGGAAGAAATTACCATTCAATAACGAAGGAAATTGTTTTTTAAATGCCCTGATCTCTCAACAGTGTTTTCTGGGGGGGTTTTTTTGATCTTTGGGAGTTTCACAGGAAGGAATGGAAGAAATGACCATTCAATAATGAAGGAAATTATTTTTTAAATGCCCTGATCTCTCAACAGTGGTTTTTTTTTTTGGGGGGGGGGGGTTTGCTCCTCTGAGACCAGGGATTTTGGGGAGGGTTTTTTTGAGGCTTTTTGTTTTGTTTTAAAATCAGACAGATTTCCCACGTCAGAATAAATTGCTGTGGTCACCTCTGTGGATCTTGTGAGTAACAAGCTTCTTACCTGCTTCAGAAGAAACCTTCTGGTTTGCCAAATGACTTCATCAAACACCATGAATGGTGACTAGACCAGAGTAAAACCATTAGAAATAAATTCAACCAAGCATTTAATTTTAAAACGTGTCTGGAGACAAACACTGACTTTGTTGTTTAATGGTTCCTGCCTCTGAAATTTGCATTTCTTGAAGAAAATAAGTGCAGCTTTAAGGGATTTTTTTTGGGAGGGGGCTGGGGGGGAGAGAAAACAGGACCACTCTGACCTGGGGTCTCTCTGCTTCCCCACAGCAGCTGTGTTACCACGATGGCTGAAGGAAATGACACCCCCAGGGCTGAGTTTGTTCTCTTGGGGTTCTCAGAGCAGGGGGATGTCCAAGTTGTCCTCTTCGTGGTCTTCCTGGTGATCTACGTGATCACCCTGCTGGGGAACCTGGGGATGCTGATGTTAATCAGGCTGGATGCCCAGCTCCACACCCCCATGTACTTCTTCCTCAGCAGCCTGTCCTTCTTAGACATCTGCTACTCCTCCTCCATCACCCCCAGGCTGCTCTGGGACCTCCTAGCAGAGAGGAAGGTCATTTCATACTCCTCGTGCTTCGCGCAGTTTTATTTCTACGCGGTCTTTGCCACCACTGAGTGCTACCTCTTGGCCACCATGGCCTATGACCGCTGCGTGGCCATCTGCAGACCCCTGCTCTATGGCATCTCCATGTCCAGCAGGGTCTGCTCCCTGCTGGTGGCTGGCTCCTTCCTGGCTGGGCTCGGGAATGCCACCATCCACGTCAGGCTGGCGCTCCGCCTGTCCTTCTGTGGCCCCAGGACCGTCCCCCACTTCTACTGTGATGGCCCCCCACTCTTCTCCATCTCTTGCACCGACACCACCCTCAACGAGACCACCATGTTCGTTGTGGTTGGCTTCAACCTCCTGGTCACCAGCCTGACCATCCTCATCTCCTACACCTGCATCCTGGCCACCGTCCTGAGGATGCGCTCGGCCGCGGGCAAAGCCTTCTCCACCTGCACGTCCCACCTGACTGCTGTCACCCTCCTCTATGGGTCTTTCGTGTCCATGTACTCACGGCCCAACTCCAGGCACTCCCAGGGCCTGGACAAAGTGGCCTCTGTGTTTTACACCGTGGTGATCCCCATGCTGAACCCCTTTGTCTACAGCCTGAGGAACCAGGAGGTGAAGGCGGCGGTGGGGAGGCTGATGGGGAGGAGACGTTGAGCTGAGAAACAGTTTTCCCTGGTGTGCCAGGGGAACCCAGAGGTCTCCTCAAGAAATCTTTATGCTTTCTATTTCTTCACTGCTCTGTTATCAAAGGAACAGGGATGTGCTGGGGGCTGCTGGGGACAAATGGGTTGGGAAACCTCGACCTTGGTCCCGAAGACGGGGTCACTAGTTGGCCTTGGGTCAGGCCGTTCACCAGCCTGCCCCAGGGGTGAGTTGGCTGCTTTTATTGGTGTTTACAGCCTCGTATTAATAAAATCTCCAGAACTCAAGCCCTTCTGGCCACTTGTAGCTGGAGAATTCCTTGCCCTTCTGGTCTTGAGCAACAAGAAGTCTCACCCTGTGTGTTCAGTGTGACCTGAGTTCTCTTTGTCTCAAATAGTGGGAGGATTTCTGCTGGACACAAGGCTCAGGTGATGTATTTTTCCCAGTCCTGGGCTTCTTTACAAGAACTTGCTGCTATGAGGGCCTTGGGCCCTTTTCTGCAACTAATTTTAGCTCAGCTGGTGCCATCTTTTCAGATTAATTAAAGTAAGTCCTGCAGTGCCTGCAAGACCATGCTTGAGGACCTCAGAGCTGCCACCTGGCACTTCTCTGAGTAATTATGAAATTACCCCTTCATCAGGAACCTGCTCCTGGCATGTTGATCTTGTTTTGGTCTTGTCATTAACTGCTCTTCCTTGGTTTTGAGCAATTGTGTGATTTCTCCTCCAAAAATAAATCGTAACCTACAGGGAAACGATTAATAAACTTTGGTGACCCCACTGAAGCTGCTCTCAGAGACCAGCAGGGCAGGAAAGAGCACTGACCAGCAGCCCACAGGAGCCAGAAAGGGTTAGAAGTCATCCTGAGCAGACCCAAGACTGGGCACCCACCAAACACACCACTGAACCTCCTCAGCAAGGTCTCCTGGGAGAGGGGCTCCTCAAGGCAGGTTTTGCCAGAGCAGAGCAAACACAAAGGGAAACCAAAACAAGGGGTGAAATGCAGTTCTGAGCCCTGGGGCTGCTCTGGCTGTCTGAAGGACACCCCATGGAGCAGCCACCACAGACACAGAAACTCATGTGATGCCCCTGAGATCCTGCTGGACCACACAGAGGTTTGGGTGGGATCTTCCCCACAGGATGAGAAGGGGATTAGAGACATTTCAGGTCTTGCTGAGGAACCCCAAGTGGTTCCTGAAGCACAGGTGAGTCTGGAGCTGCTGATGTTCCTCTCTGGACAGCCTGGTTTCCCAGCAGGGCTGGGACTGTCCACATTTAGGTCCATGTGTCCTGGATGGCCACAGCTGAGCTGGTGCCTCTGGGCTTCCCCTGCCTTCAGTGGTGAGAAAAGGGCATTTCCAGGGAGTGCTGAATTGCCCCAGGGGGAACTGATCAGCCCTGATGGCCCTGGCCAGCCTCAGCTGGGGCTTCCATCCCCACCCTCTGCCCATTGGCCACTCAGCTCTATTAAAGCTCAGCCCAGGGAGCTTGTTCTTCCCTCAGGTTATGCTGGTTTCCAGTCTAGCAGTAGGTGTGCCCACCAGTGGGTTCCATTGATCCACATCTCTCCTGGATCATGGACCTGCCAGCTGGACCTGCCCAGGGGGTTGACTTGGCTGGCCCTTGGATTTCCCTGCTCATCTCCTCCTTGCCTGATGGTCTTGGCTGGATTTGGCCCAGGTCTCTGGGTCTCCCCTCCTTGCTCAGGTACTGTGGGATGGTTCCTTGCACACTGTGGTGTCCTCCTTGGCTCTGTTGGAAGAGGACAACCCCCTGTGGCACTCCCCAACCTCCAGACCCAGCACAACCCCCTCACCCTCTGCACCCAACAGCCCAACCTCTGCTTCCTCCTTGGGCAGCCTCTCTCCATCCAGCCCATGTCCCTGCTTGGTACCATGGGAGACACTCTTGTTGGTGAGGGAAGCCAGGATTTGACTTTGTCATGGAGCAGCTGGGTGGGAGGGACCTTAAAGCTCATCCAGTCCCACCCCTGCATGGGCAGGGACACCTCCCACCAGCCCAGGTTGCTCCAAACCCCATCCAACCTGCCCTTCAACACTGCCAGGGATGGGGCAGCCACAGCTTCCCTGGGCAGCCTGGGCCAGGCTCTCACCATCCTCACAGCAAAGAATTTCTTCCTAAGATCTCACTAATCTCTTGCAAGTGTTCCCTCTTGACTTCTTGCTACAGGTCCTTGTCCCAAGCCCCTCCCCAGCTTTCCTGGAGCCCCTTCAGGCACTGGAAGCTGCTCTAAGGTCTCCCTGGAGCCTTCTCTTCTCCAGGCTGAACACCCCAACTCTCCCAGCCTGGTTCCAGAGCTGAGCTGCTTTAGCCCTTGGATCATCTCTGTGGGCTCCTCTGGCCTTGTCTTCCCCCTTCCACCAAGGAATGAGGACATCAGTACCAAGTGGATATTTAACCTGAGTGTCAAGTACTTTAACCAGGGAAAACTTGAGGAACATTGTTCTCCATCCATCCAGGCCCACACAATTGTCCTTGAAGAGCCCGATGCCAACCCAGTGACCCTCCAGCTCCTCAGCTTTGGGGCCTGGCAAGAAGGCAGCTGTACAAGTTCACTTTGTCTTTAACAAGGAAGAAAGTTTCTTTCTTATTAGTTCCAGCTAATGAGCCTCTCATGGCTTGTTAGGAAGGATGAGTTAAGTTGAGCTCAAGTCCTCTGAGGAGCTTCCCTGCTGATTAGGAAACTTTCTTGGTAAACCCCAGAAGGTCTTGTTAAGCTGATGGCTCCTGGCAGGGTGATTGGTCCATGGGGACCACTCCTTGCTTTGGGAAGGGCAGCAGCATAGTTTGTGATGGAAATGGCTGTGAGCACCTCTGTGGTGAGAGCCTGGAGCTCAGGCCTGCTGGATGACCTGCTGGAGGGCTTTTTTGGGCCAGTTCAAGCTTGGTCATATGCTCTGATTAAAAAACAGACTTCAAGGTGTCTTTGTGATGTCCCTTGGTTCTCACCAATGGGTTGGTTTGTCCCTACCTGCCTTTGACCCCACGGCAGAGGGGGCTGAGGAAGCTCCTTGTGTTTCTCCTCACCTTTGGGTCTCCTCAAGGACACACCACACGTTGAGTTTCTTGCCAGTAATTGCTCTGGGGGTAGATTTGCTGTTGTCCTTTTAACTCTTTACTAGGAGGCAAGTTGAGGAGCACTACAGACCTTCTCCATGTCCAGCTGGCTTCCATAAATGGGAATTTCCTGCTGTTGTGAACTTGGGAAAGGGATAAGAAACATGGGAATGGGTCAACCTGGCTCTCACCCCCTAAACCAATCATGATTATGGGGTAATCAGCCAGGTCCCCTCTGACATAGGTGGGAATTAGAGGCTGTTTTATCCCATCCTAGGACAGAAGGTCGTGATGGGTGTGGTGCAACATGAGGAGATCTGCACATGGAAAGGCCTGGAGGTGGACACAGTTCAGAAGAGTTGAAACTGAGATAGTTTAAATCATTGAAATAGTTTAAATAGATTAAATTGATCCTGGCCTGGGCATCTCAACACCTGTGGGAGGTCAAACTGCTCTAGGTGTCCTCCTTAAGCCCAGTTTTGGTTTGTTTTCATCAAAAAGGGGTGGGGAACTTGTCCTGAGCCTGTGATGTGAATGAAGACATGATGAGGGGAGGAACCTGGGAGACCTTCTGCCTTCCAACTCTCTCACCTGCTCTCTTTGGCTGAATTAAAGCTGGGAAAGTAGAAGCACAGATGGAGACAAGGGGCTCCGGCTTGACCAGTCAACTTTTATTATCTAAACCTGAAGGAGATGACACTGCTGCAGACCCCCCAGCCCCTCCTCCCACCACTCCTAGGGATGCTAAAAAGAGTTTTCTTGTGTTTTTTTTACTTTCAGTTGGGCTGAAACTTTATAAAGGAAAAAGAAAAAGATCCTTTGCTAACTAAGAAACTGCTTTTTTTTTTGCCTATTTTCCTGCTGAAGGAGAGGGGATGGACAGTGACATCTCCTGTCCATCAGAGAGCAAGTCAGGATCAGGAGAGCTTCTGCTCCTGATGGAAACCCAAACAAGGAAAGAATGGTCCATCTCTTGCTATGCACACCTCTGGGGCTGTGAGCCCTGGTTATCTCCTGTTAGGAAGCTGTTTGTCTCATCACAGGTCACTTCAGGGCCTCCTTCACCTCGTGGTTCCTCAGGCTGTGGGTGAGAAGGATCAGCAGGGAAATCATCACTGTGTAAAACAAAGAGATCACCTTGTCCCTCCCCAGGTGGAGCTGGGCAGGGCAGAAATGAAGAGGATGGAGCTGTAGGAGAGGGTGACAGCAGTGAGGTGGGCAGCACAGGTGGAGAAGGCTTTGCCCTGCCCTTGGGCTGAGTGCACCTTCAAGGTGGTGGCCAGGATGGAGGTGAGGATGAGAGCAGAGGGGAGCATGATGTTGGAGGTCAGGGTGAAGTAGAGGAGAGCCTGGTAGCTCCTGCCACGTTGCAGGAGACCTTCACCAGGGGCAGGTTGCAGAAGAGGTTGTCAGTGATGTTGGGGTGGCACCAGCTGAGGGTGAAGGTGGAGCTGGTAGAGCCAGTGAGGCAGGAGGTGGTCACCAGCCCCTTGCACAGCTGCTTGGACATGGGAGCAGTGGGGTGGAGGTGGCACTGGGTGTAAGTCAAGCCCCCAGAGATGGAGAACTGGGCACTGCACCCAGCTCAGGAGGTGGTCTTGTCCTCAGAGACACAGCTCAAGAGGATCCTGGGGATGTAGATGGAGGAGTACCCAAGACCCAGGAAGGACAAGTTCCCAGGGAAGAAGTACCTGGGGTGTGGGGCTGTGAGCTGCAGAGGGTCAGCAGCACCAGGGTGGTGATGTAGGCTAAGGGGAACACCATCTCACCCCTCCCTGTGCCCAAGCACCGTGACCCCAAGAGCATTTCTCCCAGGGCACCTTCTCCTCTCCCCTTCCCAACGGCAGCTCCTGGGGATTTGAGGGAAGAACTGAAGAGCGAGGAGCCCGGAGGGTTGGACAGAGAAGACACCAGAGCCCTCCTGGTGGGTCTGGAGTCAAAGCAAGGGAGGAGGGAGAACTGAGACCTCACCTGGTGAGTGGAGAGACCACCCAGACCTGCTGGGATCTGCAGCTTGAAGGTGACACATGGAATTTGAAGGCAGAACATCCAGGCAGAACATCGTGGAGAATTCCTGGTGGGAAGGAAGAGACCAGAGAGGGCAGTGAGGGGAGATGGTTTGAAACTGGGAGAGGGGAGATTGAGGTTGGACATGAGGAGGAAATTCTTCCCTGTGAGGGTGGTGAGAGCCTGGAACAGGGTGCCCAGGGAAGCTGTGGCTGCCCCATCCCTGGCAGTGTTGAAGGGCAGGTTGGATGGGGCTTGGAGCAGCCTGGGCTGGTGGGAGGTGTCCCTGCCCATGCAGGGGGTTGGGAATAGATGGTCTTGAAGGTCCTTTCCAACCCAAACTGTTCCATGAGAAGGGCTTCACCCCACAGAGATGAGCTCTGGGATGAGGAAAACCAAAAGGAGAGATTCTTCATGTTGGAGCAAGAAAAGGAAAACCCCACAGATCACGAGTTTTTCGAAGGTTCTAACACCAGAGAGAGTTTGTAAATAACTCTGAGGGGTAACCATAATCATTCTTTATCATTCCATTGTCATCTTTTACAATTTTGGAAGGTTCTCTTCCAGTTTTAATTGGTTTTATACTTTTTCATGTTGTAAGATGTTCTGATTTTCATTTTTGGAAGGTGATCAACCCAGTTAGAACCTGGGATGTGTTCTGGAAGGTGATCAGACCAGTTTGCAGAGATAACACCAGTTATAATATGTATTTATCTCTGCAACACCAGGAATTCTGGGGTGACTTTGTGGTTCTCCAGGTTTTTTCTGCTGGGTTTTGGACCTTTTCACCTGTGCCAAGAAATGTTTTCTGACCTCCAGGTGAATCCCAGGATCTTCTTCGATGGGAAAGAGCCTGATTTCCACCCCCCCCCACTCCCTCCCTTCTGAATTTAAACCATTTAAACCAGTTTTTACAGGGATTTTCCTGGTGGGAAAGTTTCCCTCCTTCCACTAAAGACATTTAGAGACCCCATGAGCAGCGTGGAACTGTCCGTCCTCTTGGACTAAAAGTGGGTTGATTTACCCCAAAATGTTCTTGGCTCTTTCACTGGTTGGTTTCAAATGGATGTTTGTGTTTCTGTGGCTGCTCCTGGACTGTGTTTCTCCCTGATTTCTGGGATGAAAAGCTCAGGATACACTCCTATATTTCCTTATATTTAAATATAGGGGATATATTGATACTGACATGATTTTTCAGAAGGAGGAGGCACAGAAGAAGGTGTTTTAGAGGCAAAGATCTCTCTTGCCAGCTGGTTTCTTCCATGGTTTCTTTTTATCTGTGTGGTGGCTTCAAACCACTTCCAGCTCAGGTTGGGAAGGTTAAAAAAAACAAAGTTAGGGAAGATTCAGGGGGATTTTAGTATTTTTTTCCTCTCTCTAAGAAAAAATAACCCTTAAAAACCCCCTCTCTACTGGGAAGGCTTCCTAAAATTATACCTTATATTTAGATTGCTTATATATTATTACTAGGTTATCTTTATCATTATATTAGATATTATATATAATTTGAACGAGAATATATATTGAAATAGAAGGAGAAATAAATATAGGAGGAGAGATATAGAAGGAGGGAGAGATATAGAAGGAGGGAGAGATGATATAGAAGGAGGGAGAGATGATATAGAAGGAGGGAGAGATGATATAGAAGGAGGGAGAGATGATATAGAAGGAGGGAGAGATGATATAGAAGGAGGGAGAGATGATATAGAAGGAGGGAGAGATGATATAGAAGGAGGGAGAGATGATATAGAAGGAGGGAGAGATGATATAGAAGGAGGGAGAGATGATATAGGAGGGATAATACAACGAGAAATACAAGGAGAAAAGAAATATTTTCTGGGCTCTTTCATTGATTTATTTTAAATTGAGTTGTGTGTTGCTGTGGCTGCTTTTGACTCTTTGCAGAAGGGATAATTTAATTTTTTGTCTGGGTTTCTGTGATAAAAATTCAGGATAAAATCTCAGAATATGTTATTTTTCTGTCTATCTGTATATATATGTGTGTATATATGTGTGTGTATATATATACAAAGTTATTTTCTAGTTAAAATTCAGAGAAAAGTCTTTATTTTTTATCCCAGACACAACAAATTTGTTGCAAGAATCCCTAAACTCTCAGCCTCTCTTCTTGTTAGAACTTGGGAGGGCCACCCAGCACCGTGCTCTGTGCCAGGACAAAAAGATCTATCTGGAAGGAACTGAATGGTTGGCAGAGGAAACGACCCTGAAACCAAATTCCTGAGCTCCTGCCCAATGGTCTTTTGATGAAGGTGGCTTGAAAAGTGAAACAAGTCTCTGCTAAGAAGGTGGACCAGGCTGGGGTTTGTTGGTGGCTCGAGGTGCTGAGTCTCTCCCTGGATTTATTGGTTTCTTTCTGATTATTGTTGTCAGGGTTCTTCACCAACCAGCTGGAGGAGATGGTCGAGGTGAACCAAAGCAGGCAGGTTCTGGAGCTGACTCTGGTGGGGCTGACGGACAACCCAGACCTCCAAGCACCCTTGTTTGTCCTCTTCTTCCTCATTTACTTCTCCACGCTGGTGGGCAACCTGGGCATGGTTGTCCTCATCAGGAGCAGCAGGCAACTTCACTCCCCCATGTACTTTTTCCTCAGCAGTTTATCCCTCCTGGACGCTTGCTACTCAACGGTGGTGGCGCCCAGGACCTTAATGGACCTGCTGGTGGAGAAGAAAACCATCTCTCTAGCTGGCTGTGCCACCCAGGTGTTTCTTTTCATAGGTCTTGGGAGCACCGAGTGCTTCCTGCTGGCTGCCATGGCTTACGACCGCTACGTGGCCATTTGCCACCCCCTGCTCTACCCAGCCATCATGTCCCACAGGGTCTGCGTCCTGCTGGTGGCCTGGTCCTACCTGCTTGGCTTGCTGCACTCCGTGGTGCACACGAGCTTCACCTTCAGCTTGGCTTTTTGCTGGCCAGGCAGGGTTGACCACTTCTACTGTGAGATCATGCCTGTTCTGGCACTTTCCTGCTCGGACACCTGGGTCAACAGGTGTCTGGTGTTTGCCCTTGCAGGACTGATTGAGATGGTGACCATCTCGGCTGTCCTGGTCTCCTATTCCTTCATCCTCTCTACCATCTCCAAGATCAGCTCTGCTCAGGGCCGGCACAAAGCCTTCTCCACCTGCACCTCCCACCTGGCTGGAGTCACCATCTTCCACGGGTCCATCCTAGCCCTGAACTTCAGACCCAGACCCAGCGACGTCCTGAGCACGGACAAGATCTTCGCTGTCTTCTATTCGCTGGTGGTGCCCCTGCTCAACCCCCTGATCTACAGCCTGAGGAACAGGGAGGTGAAGAATGCCCTGAGGGACTTCCTCAGGTGGAAGCAGCTTTGGCACATCTTCACTTGAGGTCAATGATTATCCCCCACCCTGCTGTTCAGGCTTGGTGATTTGGTTTGGAGAGGTTTCCAAGCCTTGCTTGCTTTCTGCTGGTGGCTTCTGCCAACCACCAGGCACCACAGCCAGTTGGCTTCACCTTTTGTACTTCACGTGGCTCTTTTTTGCCTCCCTCTTGGTCTTTTCACTGAGCTCCAGGCTCCTTGATGGGCCCATCAAAATGTTCTCCCACCACTACCAGCACCTCCCATTTATAGCTTGAAACCCACCTCATGACCTCGTTGTATTTCAGGGCCTCTCTCTCCTGTTGTTAAAGGGATTTTTCCTGTGCAAGGAGAGGAAATTAAATGAAATGAATGGACAAAATACTTTTAGAACAGGAAAGAAATGGCCTTCAGCTCACCTGGGTTGGGCACTGCTCCTCTCTCTTGTCTAAAGGGATCTAAAGTTAAAGATCTGGTGACTCCTTTTGAGAAAGTGTGGGTTAGATTGTGTGAACATGGTCTGAGAGCTCAAGTTTTGGGGCCAGGTTTTGAATGATCTAGAGATGTTCTGGTCCCCAGGCAGGAGCACAGGGCAAAGAGGCTCATTTCCAGCTCTGCCTGCCAAGAAGTTGCTTTTTGAGGTGTCAGAACCTTGTACGGAGAGGACCTCTGTTAGGGGGGCATGGGGGAAGTTCATGTCCCACTGCCATGGGTCTCTACGTCTTGTAGGTCCCTTCTCTGTGAAGGTGGAAGGAAAACAAGCCCCACATAACACATTTCCCACCTAGGCTTCCTTTCCCATCAAAGGTGTGGGACATGATGATCACTTGAGGTCCAACCTGGACTTTCTGTGGTTCTATCTGGATCCTTTGAGCAAAAATATCCAACAAACTGGAAGGAAGAACAATAAATCAAGTATGATCAAGTATGGGTTTGGTGATCAGGTAGTGAGGTGGATCAGGAACTGTTTGAAAGGAAGGAGTCAGAG